GGGGGGGGGTAGCTTCAACTCCTGCTTTTGTTCATGTGGTGATCCTGACCAGAATCCGATTCCCTTGAGCCTGATAGTTGAACTAAAAAAACCCAATACCCTTGGGAGCTTTGATCATGGAATACCCAGTATTGTGTCTCGTTTGGCGTAGATTGGCTACTGAAAGCAGCTGCTCATGTCCTCTGTATTACTCCTCCCCAGCTGTAATCAGAAGGGCTGGGCGGGCTATCTTCAGAAAGTTGAGCCCCATCCTGGCTGTTCTGGCAGGACAGTGGTTTTTTATGGTAAGGGTCCCATTCTGATTGCAAGTGGAGGAAAGGAAGCTGGTTGGATAAGTGAGCAAGAGAGACTGACGCAATAGCCCAAAGGCCCACAGGGGTGAAAGTGTCACACCCATTGTCATGGGACCCCTAAGTGGCCACATGTACTGCTTGAGCCATGAGCTGGTACTAGCTACCTTATGCAGTCTCGGGCCACTTTAGATTTTTAGTTGGTAAGATTTAACGACTAAATGTTTACTGGTTTTCTTCATGCTGAAAATTAATTAGAGAACTGTTACAAAATCTGAGCTCACTGTTTTCTTTCATCCCCTTTCTTGTTTAGCTTTGGGGGGGAATGAAAGCATCACCTTGGGTCAGCCTAATCAAATTTAGTTTTCTGATCTCGGAATTATATGGCATACTTCCTTAAGCTGGTCACTGTGCCAAAAGCTTGAAAATGTAGTTTACAGGTGTACTTCTATTTACTGGGTGCAAAAGTGACATCCAGTGGTTGGTTAAATTAATTAGAATAAGTAGTATTCCATGGAGCAGATACTAGCAATTCATTAATAAAATGAAAGTGAATCTTGTGTTCTGTTCTCATAGGCTTATTGTGTCATAAGTCTTTGCCTTATAAAATTCACTGCTGAGAAGAAGACTTAACGAATTAAACATAAGCCGGACTCTAATCTGGGAGAACCGGGTTTGATTCCCCACTCCTCCACTTGCACCTGCTGGATGACCTTGGGCAAGCCATAGTTCTGGCACAGCTGTTCTTGAAAAAGAGCAGTTTCTGTCAGAGCTCTCTCAGCCCCACCTACCTCACAGGGTGTCTGTTGTGGGGTGGAGAAGGGAAAGGAGATTGTAAACTGCTCTGAGACTCCCTTGGGTAGTGAAGGGCGGGGTGTAAATCCAATCTCCTCCTCCTCCTCCTTGTGGATTCCTTTTTTGAAACTGTTCTCTACTTGTGATTTTTCAGGCTGTACCCCTACTTACTTTGATGCAGTTCAAAAGTAGCTAGTTTTATTTTCTGCTTTACTTAAACTAATATTTCTATATTCCAAAAACTTAACAATTTGCTCTAAGACAGAGGGTGTAGCAGAATCATGAACCCAGTCCATTAATCTGTAAACTAATCCTGTTTGAAAGCTTTTGATTATTTTTTTTAAAAAGGTTAGATCTATTTTAAAAAAGCAATCCATATATTAGATACAAAGCTATAAAACCTATCTGTGACATCACTGAATGTTTTAACATAATATTTCTTTAATTAAAAAAAACCACTTTAAAGGTTTTTACATTCGCAGCAGCCCCTGTGAGGCCGACCACTGTGACTTCCATTTTTAGATGGAGAACGGAGGCAGAGAAGTAGGGTCTTGCCCAGAGTCATGCAATGAATCCATAGAGAAGGTGACATTTGGACCAGGCTCTCCACCTCCAACTCTATATTTAGTGAACTGTACTGGTTATTTGTCTGTTTATTTTGTGTTATCATTGCGTATGGCTGATCACAGATTTAAGACTAGTCCCTGTATCTGTCAGGAGCATATAATCAAACATTTGGCCTAAGGTAGACAATAAGGAGAGGAGAGGGGTGTGGAGGTGGAGTTTAATTGGAAAAAAATGTGTTCAATCTTGTTATAGGCACTTAGGCTTATTTTCAGTAGATAAGAGGGCTAAGGCCCCAAAGATATCTGGCTGTTCTCAACCACAGCCAGGGCTTTTTCAGCCCTGGCTCCGACCTGGTGGAACTCTCTGCCAACCTCCATCAGGGCCCTGCGGGACTTAATGCAATTCCGCAGGGCCTGCAAGACAGAGATGTTCCGCCAGATTTTCGATTGAGGACAGTGATGGTCTCCATCATAGCTGGCACCATGCTCTTTACTCCCACTCTGCCCACTTTGGCCTCCTCCAGTAACCTGCCCATGAGATGGAAGAATGATCCGGAAGAAGTTTTTAAGTTAAATTTGAGACGCCATCTGGAGATTGTAAAATTAAGATAAACTGTTTGTTGATTTTAATCGGTATTTTTGTATGTTTTGATCTGTTGTAAATCGCCCAGAGCCCTGCATACTCAGGGACTGGGCGATTCAGAAATCTAAATAATAATAATAACAACAACAACAACAGGTTATGCAGAAGCATCACAGAATAAGAGAGGTTTGAGAAGCAATTTGAAGGACGTGATAGAGGTGGTATCACACGGCTGTTTTGGGAGGAAGTTCCATGCGAAAGGAACAACAAGGGACAAGCAGTAGAGTTGTTCGGGAGAGCAGGAGTCTTTCAGACAACTGAGGGAGGTGAAGGATATAGGGCAGGGATATTTCAAATATGTGAGCAGAGAGAAGGGTAGGACAAGATCATGGAGAACTTTAAATGCAGAGTTTGTGTGCTATCCATGAGCAGGCACACATGAAGCTGCCTTATACTAAATCAGACCATTGGTTCATCAAGGTCAGTATTGTTTACTCATACTGGCACCAGGTCTCCAGGGTGTCTGGTAGAGGTCTTTCACATCACCTCCTACCTGATCCATTTAAGTGGAGATACCAGGGATTGAACCTGGGAACTTCTAGTCACAGCCCTTCTCCTCCCAGGAAGCCAGAGCAGATTTTAAGGAGGGTATTGCATCATTAATGCAATAACAGAGGTGAATGGGAACAGGAGGTGTTCCTAGTTTGAAATCTTAAGACATTTATTTTCCATTTTTTTCACAGTTGAGTTGTTGCCAGCAATATTATAAAAGGAATGGGTATTTTAAGTGATCTGTTTGTTTGGAGAAATAGACAGAAGGGGGGTTCTGTCATTCTTGCAGTCCCAGTGCTTCCTTCCCTGAGAAGTAATTTCTTACAGTCAAAGGACCTGCTGGAGTAACATGAGATGTGGCATGGGGAGGAGGGACTGCTGCAGGAAGAGGCAATTGGTGAAAGGTGGGACACCCCTCCCCTTCGTCATGAGTAGAAGGGCCTTCTACTCACATTATGGCACCTTTGGACCCAAGCCAATATCCCAAATATTTCTGGATCATGTTCTGCTTTTGGGTTTTGACTGTCTTGCCTGGCAAATACTAAGGTTTCCTGTTCAGACACACAAAATTTTAGCCTGAGCTTCAGTAGACCCATACCCAGCCACATGACTAAACTGGTCTTCAGTTAGCTAAATGAATACTTGGGATTCTTCATTGCTAACTGCCTTTCTTGTGCAATTATAAGGCCATTTATTAAAGCACCTTACATTTCAACTTGAAGTAACAATTTCGCTTGTGTATTTTTGAAAATGAGCAGTATTGATTTAAAGCTGAAGAAATTTTTGAAAAATGTCATGTAGAGAGTATTACTTTCTGCCTTACCACATTGTGTAGAAGGCAGTATCTTGGTTTTATGCCTATTGTGCAATGACACAGGTTTATTTTTCCTTTGTTCTTTTCAGAGTGCTGCAGCAGCTCCCAGTCCAGTGCTAGGAAACATTCCCCCAGGAGATGGCATGCCAGTAGGTCCTGTACCACCGGGTTTTTTTCAGGTATTCAGAAAAATTATGATTATAGGAATTTTAGGACTTAGAAATGGGTCCTAGCATTATTTGGTGCTGCTGCAAGAGGGTACTATTTTAGTTTCTACCGTGTATAAATGCATAGTATTTAAATATGAAATCTGGGGTGGGGGAAGGGAATTGGGAATAAGGCGTCTCTGGTGAGTAAGGAAAAAGTTTATGCTAGTTTAGCTGAGGAGCTGAAATTGTTAAGCAGCGCAAAACTAAACTACTGTGATGAAATATTAGATATGCAATAACTTTAGTGTACCAGTGAGGTTGTGGTTTCTGTACTAACATAAAGACCTGGTGCTTGCTTTACCCTTTCTATTAGGGCTGATTTACCAGAGATTGTATAATATTGGTACCCCTGAAGTTAGCATTTCTTGTAAGAGGCTATAGCATCCTGAAGTCCAAAAGCTTGAGCTGGCAATATGTATTTTTAACAGGAGTACATGATTCTGGGTATAGCTCCCTTCTTCGTTGTTCTGATAGTCACTGCAGAGTCACTGGTGTAAGTTCTGTTCTAGAAACCTGTTTTATCCTATGTTGCACAAGAACTGACTTCCTGCACTTATGTGAATGGAAGCAGAAAACTGCTGTGTCTAATTAAATCTGTTAAATGAGAAAAACATGATCCAAATGGTCATGATAGGGAGCTCCTTGTCCCTCAGAGACTGAGGAGAAAGGCCAAATAATTGGGAGTGCATGTAGAGTTCATTGCTTGTTCCTGAATAAAGATTCAGTAATGGAGCACAGTTAGAAGTTATATTTGTATGTGTGAAGAAGAGAGGGAAAACATGTGCAAAGCTAGAAGCAAGATGTTTGCCTAGAGAGGAGGCAATTCATTGAGGTGTCCTGCATGGACAGAAGAAAAAAGTGTTAGTATGATACAGGATAAGTGCATGTTGGTGGCTGACTTTTTTGAGCAGAGATGGAGAAGTTGTAGAACTATCCCAAATTTGGAATGTGCTGTTCCCAGGGTAGGTACAAACTGCTTTTTAAAAAAACATAGTAGATTTTTAATTTAAATGTGAGTTTTAAAAAATTAACTTGTATTTTACATTTTTCAAAATTTTAGTAAGTACCGTATGTTTAAAAAAGAATCTGATTCAGTACAAACATAAGCCTGTGGTGATCTCTCTGAAGCTTTTATCAGTAGTGTTGAGTTGAAGGCTGATTTTCTTTGTCGAAGTCTCAATAGGCAGAAAATATCTAACTTTTGACCTTAAGAATATAAATAAGTCATGTATAAATGTGACCTTACTTTTGGATCTACTGGCAAGTGGATCATCTCATGCATGAGATCTGTTCAGATCAGTTACCTGTTCTCTCCAGTTAGATTCGAGTCCAGTAGTGCCTGATCTCTGCAGTATGCTCAGTTATCTATTATTATTATTTCAACTATCCTGCCCATTGCCTGCAAGCAGGACTGAATATCTCACTGTACCAACCAGAAATCATGGATATTTACTCCACTTCTGTTTAGCACAGTGACTCCCAGCCATAGCTTCTACAGAGTTTTGACCTGTACTGCCTTATCCTATGCATGGTTTCTTAGGAGCACATTCACTGGAATTTAATTCCAAATAAGTGAGCACAGACTTGAAGCCTTAGACTTCCAACCAACGATCTGGTTCAGTGTCCTTGCATGTGCATAGTCAGACAGAAAATTACCTCATCTATAAGCAGATACATAGTCTATATGGATAATTTTGTTTGTATAAAGAGTCCAATTGCAAACAAAAACATTTTAATTGTTATAGCAACTAATTAGTATGTGCAATTGTTAAGCAAATAAATTTCACAGTGGAATTTAAAATTTAAATTAATTGATTTGAGTGGTCATTTTTTTCTTGGTAATTTACATCCTTATTCAAATCAATCTACACTAGTTATTCTTTATCCAAACTGTGATAAATATCCAGCTTTAACAGTACTTCAGTAAACGGTTACTGTCAATTTGCTTAGCCACCACTTATTTTAGACTAAAACCAACCCCTTTTCTCTTCGCTTCTGTCTCTCCCTGTCTTCTTCCTTTCATTGATGTGATAGTGAACTTTGGTTCTGCGATCCATACTTAAAACGTGAAGGTGGCATTTTAGCATCAGTACAATAAAGCAGGATATAAGCAAGTTATATTATCAAGCACAGCATGATAAGGAAAGCTGGTTATTGTGAGGGAATAGCCATTTGATTTGGTAATCTAGATACATGTCTATTAATATTAATATTGTAACTCTAGTATATTTTAGTGAATCTTCTCAGCTATGTAGGATTGCTTAAGTACTCTGCGGTTGTTAACCCTTGTTCGAAAATTAGCCCAGTTTGATCCATCTTTTGCTCAGTATGGAGCATGTTACACCATTTTTCTACACTCCTAAAGTAATATTAGACTTCTTATGTAGTCCTTCATACAGAGGACTACACAAATGATGCCCAGTTTATGTTATTCTTACTCATAAAGGGGGGCTCATATGAATCAGAACTTTGCTTTATCCTGCTTCTGTGCAAAGGGGGAGGGTGTTGCACCACATGATTCTTTTGAAGGGCTGTGCACCTGCTTGTCTGCTGAGCAAAAGAGTCAGCTGCCTTGTCTAAGTTAGGCTTAGAATGAAAGATGATTGGTTCTTGTGTCTGTTTAGCTAATGCACAATATTGCTGTTTCCTCATTGGATAGGATATCTGTAGTAGAGTTCTTTTAAAAGGTCTCAAAATGCCAATTAAAATTGGAAGAGAAAAACACTTTCATTCATTGTTATTTCTGACTTCAAGCAGGCTAAATCCCTGTATCTCCTACCACCCATTACAAAATTCAAATTGCTTGACTTCAGGTCTGGCATTCAATATAGTATCTACCTCCCTCCCTGAAATCTCCTGAATCTAGTGGGACTCTTGTGACCATGCAACATGCACAGATTTATCATGTAAATATGTCATTATCTATTTTCCTCAATATATTGATCTTTGTTCCAGGTAGGGCATTAAGTTGTGAACTCATTCTATTTGGGGAAACGGTACCACATACTAAACAAAAAAGTAGTAGTCCCTGGATAATGATAACACTGGCTGAAACTATCAGTGTAATTGCGCTAAAAAGAGAAACAATGAATAGAGTAGCCATATAAACAAGAGCAAGGCATTGGCTGACAGAAGGAAGAAAAGTTGTTCTCTCAAGTTAGAAGCATTTCTGTGGGCTTTTTATTGTTGCTAATTTAAAGACTGCCTAGAAAGGTCAGGAAAAAAATTAAATCACATTTAATGATTTCACAAGACAAAGTGGTATCATGGATAAAAATTAAATGGATGCATTCACCATTCCAGCACAATCTAACAATAGGACTGCTTAGAAGACCATAAAGAAAATTAGTAATGGTGGACAAATTTTCATGAAAGTCACTTGTCTCTTGAAATGTGCAGCTGCAGAAAAGGATTGGGATGTGTTCTATGTAGCATTCTCCATTAACATGAGTCAGCAGCAAGCCTAGCCAAACTGTGTGCCTTTGGATCTCATTACATATTAACATGAGTCAGCAGCAAGCCTAGCCATGGCCGCACAAACTGTGTGCCTTTGGATCTCAGTACACGAGACATGAAATGTGTGTTGGGTTCCCCAACCCAACTTGTGTTTCGCATCTGACTCGGACTCACCTTCAAAATGGGGGGGATCAGCTGCAAAGCACAACATGAGGGGCTTTAGTCTTCCCTCCCTTCCATTCTGCACTGCTTTCCAAAGCAAACAAAAAAGTGGCAGGGGTCTATTTGTCCAGTTCTGGAACCGCCAACACAATTCACATTTAATGTCTCATGTAATGAGACTCTTACACTTTCAGCAAGTGGCAGAAACCTCTGCACTGGGTTTTCATTACATATTCAGGTGTTTAACAGACCTCTGTGTTGTATGCAGATTCTCTGGTTGTAGTTTGATTTTTCCTCAAGCAAGGAGTTAGATCCAACAGTTGTCTTCTGTTCAGAGCCTTGCTGTAATGGATAGCCCATGCTCCAGTGGGAAAACTTCTCACTTAGATATGGAGAGTTAGATCCCAACCAGTGTTCCTGTGTAGGAAAAATAGCTGTTTAGCATATGGAATCTTGCTTTATATCATTTGTACAGGAGCATGCACATTCATAGGCATAACTACACAGTTTACTTTGGGGATCATAGAACCCAGCTAAACCAGTGCCTGCCAAATATTTTTAAGTTGCCTATCTTTAATTGCCATTGTCTTATTCTGTAATGTGTTGTCTTCAATGGGCAAGTAGACTGAGGGCATTCACATACTCCTGTGACAACTTTCAGATCATCTTCGTGGTCTCTGTGCATCACATCCTGGGTTATAGTGTGCCTGTGCCGACCCCGATTGGTATTGTAGAAAGCTAAAGGGATTTTCGCGTCTGCTCCCCCATCACATGACTAGGGGAGGGGCACGGTTATCTTCAGTGCACATGACTAGGGGAGGGGCATGATTATCTTGCCACTTCTCTTCTAACCGCTGCGCTGGTAGGACCTTTTACGCTTCGGTCGGTAAAAAGGACTTTGGCTTCAGCCTCCTTCTCTCCCTTTTCACCAAGGTAATGGTGGTCATTGTGGCTCAGCTTCAGCTGCAGGGCATAAAACTTTTCCCGTACATCGATGATTGGTTGTTGATTGTGGAGACCGAGACAACCTTGCTCAAACACATTGCCTTAACCCTCAACACCCTATCAACCCTGGGATTGCGGGTAAATCTAAAGAAGTCGATGCTCACCCCTTCCACTTGGGTGCAATTCGTCGGCGCAATCCTAGACTCGACACTTTGCAGGGCTTTCCTTCCCCCCAAAAGGGCAGAGAACATCGTCGCCCTCATTGGCCTCCTCATAAAACAACGGATAGCTTCAGCGAAGCAGATACAGCGCTTGCTAGGTCTCATGGCCGCAACTAAGTCGGTCCTGGTCTTTGCCAGACTTCGCATGAGACCACTTACGTCGGTCCTGGTCTTTGCCAGACTTTG